TCTTCCTCTTTTTGGTGACAAATCCAAAGTTAGAAATTCATCGTTTTCTTCTAAAGTTAGTTTATAAAACATTTTATAGCCATCTGCTGGCGGGTCTGGAGGTAGCCGCCACATCACTATAATATAATTTACAAAACTGCACTATTCTTTCGCACTTATAAAAATAAGTCCAGTGATCACAACTTTTTTTAAAATACTGAAAATAATTCAAAACAATACTTCACACACACTTATCACACGTTTCTATTTCCTTTACACTAAGCCCCGCAATTAATTTCCCGAGTACAGCGACTTACGCCACTTTCAAAATAAACATGTTTGTTATACCGTTAATTAGCAAAACTTCTCTCGAACAAATCTCAATAGTCCTCAACTTATTGATTGCAAATTTTTAAAAAATGAAAAGATACCGTTCAATTGTAATTAGTGTTACCATTAACTCGATTTTTTTGAAAAAGTGACTTATGCCACTTTCAAAATAAACGGCTCGTATATACATGTGCGTGGCAGACAAACTGGCAACTCTAAAACAACGGATTTACGACTACTTCACAGCAAATTATTGAAAAAATGATAAACAAAAGTAACAATTAATTAAAAATTAGTATTTAGACTTTAAATACATGGTCTTACCAATACAGAATAATTTCTAAAATTTATATTACAGGCCTCCAGTATATATCTATATTCAAGCAATCCTTGGAGTTCTGAGTCGCGAGCATAATCTGACATGCGTTTATATTGCTGTAATTTTCGCATTGACAGCTCTTGACAGCTCTTGGCAGCTAGTTTTTTTTTTAATAATGGTAAAACTTTAGTCTACAAAATGAAGCCGAAACGAACACTTCATCGTACTGCATTTATAATTTAAGAATAAAATGAAATTTGAACACATTTAGTTGAATATAACTGAAAAAGTAGCTTAGATATAAAAACAAAATTTCGTGTAATTCAAGTATATACTAGATAGAGTTAATCCTATCACTCATTATTCAATTTCAAAAAGTAACACATTTATAAACGACGATTTTATTTGGGAAATACTCTACTCGTCACCAAAACAAATAAGTGGTAAAAGAAATCATGGCAAATCATGACACATATTCCCAACGAACTGTATGCGAATTAAGTTTTCATTATAGAAATATTGTATACCAATGACTTTTTTTGCCGGCTTTGGGTGTCTTTGTCACCACTTTGCGGTGATCGCGTTTGTGTCGGTGCAACGTAATGATACGTTCAAATACGTCCCGATACATCCAAAGAAATGTCTATTCTGATATCCATCGACGCAACGGGTAAAAATTGCTTATAAGAAACCAGTCCAATGATTTCCATCGTTTCAGTGCGAATGCGTCGGACGCGAAATGCAATCGCCGGCGTCTGACGCGCACCGAAAATATCACCCTAAAGACGTCGCGAGGAGATTCGTTCGCGTCTCCATTCGCGCACTCTGCGTTTCAGGTTGGAGGCAGAGTACGAATCGGAGTCATCGAACCAGGGAAACCCGCCAAACCAGCCGGACTTGTTCGACTCGCGCCGCGGATACGTCCAGGTTCGAGAGGCCAGCGTCCTAGCAAATGACAGCGAATGCGATGCAAAAATCCGTTTCAACGAACTGTACGAGGAAACCCGATCGATCAAACAGAGTGAGACAAAGGCAGCGATCGCGCTCGCCGAGGAAACGCGTCGATGTGTCATCGAACTGATGCGAACGTTTCACGTGGACGCGACAGATCGGGTACCGGATATTTCTCTATGGCATCGAACCGTGGAAACGTCCCTCTTCGATGGCGATCGGATCGAACCCGTGAACAATGAGAACAAAGCGAACAAAGAAGATGGAGACGAGATAGCCTTCGACTTGAAAGATTATGCGTTTCGTGGGTCGACGCTCGAGCGTATGATGGACGGTGTACTGGAAGTCGGGTAAGCCAGGCGACTTATTATTATCATTACTATTATTCAATTAAATTCCAAATTCCAAATTTCAAATTTCAAATTTCAAATTCCAAATTTCAAATTCCAAATTTCAATTTCAAATTCAATTTCAAATTCCAAATTCCAAATTCCAAATTCCAAATTCCAAATTTCAAATTCCAAATTTCAAATTCCAAGTTCCAAATTTCAAATTCCAAATTTCAAATTCCAAATTTCAAATTTCAAATTCCAAATTTCGAATTCCAAATTTCTAATTCCAAATTTCGAATTCCAAGTTTCGAATTCCAAGTTTCAAACTCCAAGTTTCAAACTCCAAGTTTCAAATTCCAAGTTTCAAATTCCAAGTTTCAAATTCCAAATTTCAAATTCCAAATTTCAAATTCCAAATTTCAAATTCCAAATTTCAAATTCCAAATTTCAAAATCCAAATTTCAAATTCCAAATTTCAAATTCCAAATTCCAAATTTCAAATTCCAAATTCCAAATTTCAAATTTCAAATTTCAAATTCAATTTCAAATTCCAAATTCCAAATTCCAAATTCCAAATTTCAAATTCCAAATTTCAAATTCCAAATTTCAAAATCCAAATTTCAAATTCCAAATTTCGATTTCCAAATTTCTAATTCCAAATTTCGAATTCCAAGTTTCGAATTCCAAGTTTCAAACTCCAAGTTTCAAACTCCAAGTTTCAAATTCCAAGTTTCAAATTCCAAGTTTCAAATTCCAAATTTCAAATTCCAAATTTCAAATTCCAAATTTCAAATTCCAAATTTCAAATTCCAAATTTCAAATTCCAAATTTCAAATTCCAAATTTCAAATTCCAAATTTCAAATTCCAAATTTCAAATTCCAAATTTCAAATTCCAAATTTCAAATTCCAAATTTCAAATTCCAAATTTCAAATTCCAAATTTCAAATTCCAAATTTCAAATTCCAAATTTCAAATTCCAAATTTCAAATTCCAAATTTCAAATTCCAAATTTCAAATTCCAAATTTCAAATTCCAAATTTCAAATTCCAAATTTCAAATTCCAAATTTCAAATTCCAAATTTCAAATTCCAAATTTCAAATTCCAAATTTCAAATTCCAAATTTCAAATTCCAAATTTCAAATTCCAAATTTCAAATTCCAAATTTCAAATTCCAAATTTCAAATTCCAAATTTCAAATTCCAAATTTCAAATTCCAAATTTCAAATTCCAAATTTCAAATTCCAAATTTCAAATTCCAAATTTCAAATTCCAAATTTCAAATTCCAAATTTCAAATTCCAAATTTCAAATTCCAAATTTCAAATTCCAAATTTCAAATTCCAAATTTCAAATTCCAAATTTCAAATTCCAAATTTCAAATTCCAAATTTCAAATTCCAAATTTCAAATTCCAAATTTCAAATTCCAAATTTCAAATTCCAAATTTCAAATTCCAAATTCCAAATTCCAAATTTCAAATTCCAAATTTCAAATTCCAAATTTCAAAATCCAAATTTCAAATTCCAAATTTCGATTTCCAAATTTCTAATTCCAAATTTCGAATTCCAAGTTTCGAATTCCAAGTTTCAAACTCCAAGTTTCAAACTCCAAGTTTCAAATTCCAAGTTTCAAATTCCAAATTTCAAATTCCAAATTTCAAATTCCAAATTTCAAAATCCAAATTTCAAATTCCAAATTTCGATTTCCAAATTTCTAATTCCAAATTTCGAATTCCAAGTTTCGAATTCCAAGTTTCAAACTCCAAGTTTCGAATTCCAAGTTTCAAATTCCAAGTTTCAAATTCCAAGTTTCAAATTCCAAGTTTCAAATTCCAAGTTTCAAATTCCAAATTTCAAATTCCAAATTTCAAATTCCAAATTTCAAATTCCAAATTTCAAATTCCAAATTTCAAATTCCAAATTTCAAATTCCAAATTTCAAATTCCAAATTTCAAATTCCAAATTTCAAATTCCAAATTTCAAATTCCAAATTTCAAATTCCAAATTTCAAATTCCAAATTTCAAATTCCAAATTTCAAATTCCAAATTTCAAATTCCAAATTTCAAATTCCAAATTTCAAATTCCAAATTTCAAATTCCAAATTTCAAATTCCAAATTTCAAATTCCAAATTTCAAATTCCAAATTTCAAATTCCAAATTTCAAATTCCAAATTTCAAATTCCAAATTTCAAATTCCAAATTTCAAATTCCAAATTTCAAATTCCAAATTTCAAATTCCAAATTTCAAATTCCAAATTTCAAATTCCAAATTTCAAATTCCAAATTTCAAATTCCAAATTTCAAATTCCAAATTTCAAATTCCAAATTTCAAATTCCAAATTCCAAATCCCAAATTCCAAATCCCAAATTTCAAATCCCAAATTTCAACTCCCAAATTTCAACTCCCAAATTTCAAATCCCAAATTTCAAATCCCAAATTTCAAATCCCAAATTTCAATTTCAATTTCAATTTCAATTTCAATTTCAATTTCAATTCAAAATCCGATTTGATTCGATTTAATTTATTTATGGATACGTGTAAATACCCATTTTTGCAATGGAGAACAAAAACATATAATATTAACGTAGGATCAGAGCTGTGGGGATATTAATAAAATGTTTAATTAAAAGCTAAATACACCAACATAATAATTAAAACCTTTAACACTCAACACTTAACTAAGATACAATGAATTCAACGCGCAACTCTCCGTCTGAGGTTTTCCCGTTTTCAAAATCGTTGTCAAATACGCCGATTCGCTTCTATCGCTGAAATACAACTGCTACACGAAATCGCATACAAACGATATAACTGTCGTTCAGTTGCTGAAAAGCAGTGACGTACCAATTTGGCCAAAAATCCTCATTCCACATGAATATTGACAGAGAATCAGCGAATCAGCAGTTTAGGTAAACAGTTTAGATAAACTCGTTTTGAATTTTGTAATATTAAATGCAAATATTTTGTAATATTAACTGAAAAATCTTGTAAAATGATCAATTAGGCTAAATCGTGTCGAGTGGAATTTAGTTCTGAAGGGCAGTGCTGACCTAGCAAATCGAGATGAGTATTGGCTATTGGTCATGCCAGGTACAAGGTGTTAAAATATTATACGTCACGACCACCATAGCGGAATTCTATACTACTGGATCGGTGGAGATCTGTCAAAAAAACTTCGTGCAAAATTGATCTTGTCTTTAAAAATCACGGTCAAATTTTGTTCGCTGTATCATATTGTATTCGTTAAGAGTAACAATAGCCTCGAAGGAACTATGAGCCGTAAGTCAACCCTTTACATAAAAAAACGATGTTAATAACGATATACAGTGGCCCACAAAAGTGTTCGTACATCTTTTAAAACTCAATAACGTTTTGAAAACTGAACTAAATGATTTCAATTTTTTTTAGACGACAAAGGGTCTAGTCTACTAGGTGATGGCTAAAAAGCTGTTTTTAAATTTTGATATTATTTAGAATGAAAAGAAAAAATTAAAAATCCTTAATTAAATTTTAAAATTTTTTTTTTTTTTAAATTTAAATTTTTAACTTTTCTATCTGAACCTATAACGAAAATTTAAAAAATGTTTTTTGTAGATCTCGGTAACTTACATGCGTACTGAAAATTTGATCGAGATCGGTTAATCCAGAGTCGAGCTACAGATGTTGACAAATTTGAAACACTGCAGATTTCCTACAATTTTTGGTCAAAATCGTAATAAAACCACGATTTTTGCCCCCTTTAATTTGTTGTAACTCATAACGTCAACCGATTTCGATAAAATTTTCAGCATGCATATGAGTTATCAAGATCTATGAAAGGCATTTTTTAAATTTTCGTGTTATAGGATCAGATAGAAAAGTTAAAAAACAAGGGTTTTTAATTATTTCTTTTCATTCCAAGTAATAGCAAAATTAAAAAAAAGCTTTTTAGCTATTGTCTAGTAGACTAGTTCCTCTATCATTTGAAAAAGAATTCAAGTCATTTAGTTCAGTTTTTAAATAATTATTGTGTTTTAAAAGATGTACGAACACTTTTTTGGGCCACTGTACAACTGGCCAGGTAGTGGTCTCCTGACGAGTACTATGTTACGGCAATAAAAATTTGACTTTGATTTTCAAGCTCGTGCTCAACTTTGCACGAAGTTTTTTTAACAGATTTCCGCTATGGTGATCGTGGCATATAATTTGTTGACACCCTGAACAACTTTGTATACACGATGTCCCAAAATGATGGTACTTCCAGGAAATGAGTGATTCCTGAGGCCATTTGAAGTAACTTTTTTCTTAGCGAAAATATAAACCGCGACCTTGTTTACGAGTTATTAATGAAAAAGCACTGACCAATGAGCAGCGAGATTAACTGGCGCGAGCCGAGCTCGATTCTCATTGGTCAGTGTCTTTCGTTAATAATTCGTAAACAATGCCGCGAATTGCATGTGCGCTAAGGAAAAAGTTACTTCAAATGTCCTCAGGAACCCCTCATTTCCCGGTAGTACCATAATTTTGGGACACCCTGTATAAAACATAGGTCCGCAATGATCCTTCTGGACTCCGGAGAGCGTATGTTCTTATCTATTAAGAATTCATAGTGTTATTGCTCGCGGTCGATTTTTAGGAATCGGTCGAGCCTTGTGAAATTTACACGTACTGTGTCGACTAGTGAATACTCGAAGGACCACCTCCCCTATCAGGAGGAACAAACTTACACCGTGAGTGAGGCAAAACAATTTATTTACACTCTCCGGCGGAGATACCAGAATGTTGAGTTGCAAGTTTCGAAAGGTATCTAGAAGGTATCGAAAGGTGTCTAAATGGTATCCAAAAGGTATCTGATCTGTAGACCGAGGTTCGCCCATAACGACACCTCGGTCCTCCCTACCCTAGTAAATTGGGGGTGGGTGTTGAGGAAAGCCGCCCAATCGCGACGAGCCCGAAAGACAACGCCTGGGACCTAAGAAGGGGCAGTACCGCATCTTTGCGCGGGAGTTCGAGGCCGCGCATGGGCCCGGGAACTTCCCGACATCTGCAAACCATTTTCCAAATTGCCCGTTGTCCCAAGACGT